TAATAATTGTTTTATATAATTAAACACGATGACTTCGGTTATTTTTTTCACAATGACAAAAAATGTTTAGATCGTCTGTATATCTTTTCTGAGTCAATCAGTGTTTTATCAGATTTTGCAATTCCAATGGTTATGCTAATCATCTGGTAATAGGACGTAATGGTATAGGTTAAAAATCACACCTGTCGGCCCCGATGCTATATTTGTATATAACATTGAAGCTAAGTCCACTACGAGCCGTTAATACAGTATACCAATGCCAACAGCCGGTTGTCACTATGGTTCCCGAGCACTGATCTGTTGCCAAGTCCTAATTCAGCCGATAGCATGCCATCCAGATTACCCACGCAGAGAAGACGTTTCCTTCTCGTGTGCGTAATGATAAGAAGTGAGGTACGTGCCGCTCGGGGTTCTGTTTTGGTCAACTAATACAGGCCGTCAAGATAATATACGGCCATATGAAGATCGTTGACGGCCACTTGGTTGCTAGCCGCGGCCGGTAACAGGGCTGGCTCATGCGGCCGCGTGCGACCCCTGATGAGGGCGTATCTGCCATGTTCAGTCTTGCGATAAGTCTCAACGAAGCTACATGGGGAAACCCATAGCAGGGTGTCGTCTAGGCCATGATCCGCTACAGAGGTTGTGTCAGGCACAAACCACATCGGACGAATGTAGCATTTGTCTGCGCTGGTTTGGTCGCGTGGCGTTTCGGTGCGGGTATTGTATTCGTTGGGACAATACTAAGTACAACAAGGTCCCGGAAGGCCAACCATGCAGCAATATTATCGACGGTGGTAAGATACGAATCATCGATGCTTGGGTGACGGGAATGAACACTGGTGCACTAGCAACGTTGCGACAAACGTACTACGTTTCCTGTGACAATTCGGGCCAGCACTGAGCAGAGACTTGTTCTTTCGACATTGTATTTGTCTCTTTTCTAAAGCGCGTTTGTACCATTCCGCTAACATGTATAATGACAATACGCAATCCCTCTTCCTGGGTCCCTTAATTAATTCACTGATTAATGTGCGGTAGGGATCGGTGGTCTGTTTTGGCTCTTTAGCCATGACCATGAATTTACTCAAGTTTCGCTATTGGAGCCTACCTGTGTTTGCTTCGGAGATACAGCATTCAAAACTGGTGACCTTCGACGTTCATATGGCTGTGTATGGCGTGCGCGTAGAATATTAAACGCCTTGAATCGCCGTCCAATTCTAAGGGGTCGGTTTTTTCGGCGTCGGATGATTTATCAAAATTTTGATCCTGTCGAACACCCCACAATCAATCATACTGAGTTCAAACTTAGGAAGTTCTTGTTTCCTATTAACTGGATCCTTCTTGCAGGTCTTATTAGTTTGGGCTTAATGCATTGCATTACGGCTTCTTCCTCATATTCTGATTTGTCTTAGAAAAAAAAGTAGACTATTAGAAAACTGTGTCTGTGAGCAGTTAACGAATTTTTCAAATAACATTTCTTAGCTGACTTCAAATATGATTCAATACAACAGTATATCAATAATTCTTAGAAATTTTGGGCCGGATCAAGATTTAGGCAAGTTATTGTGTGATAACTGAGATTCGTAACAAACGTATTATGACACTTACTAACGCGCAAAAGATTCACTATATATCAACGAGGGCATGTAACGACACTGCTCCGTGTCAACTCATTCATATTGAAAAATATAAAGTTTAAGATATGTTATTTGCCGAGACAAAAATCTGCTGCGTAACTTCGGCGAAAACCAACGGCTATCACTCCATATAACACCTGTGAAGTTATACTCTGTTAAGAGAACCAATTTGTAATTTTTATTAATTATGGGTCTAATGACGTGCTGACCTTGCGACATTAATTCCATGTCCTGCACGCTCAAACTAAACATACTGCATACTAAAATACCTAGTAAGAGCAAATCTAAGTTCTGCCTAGAACGCTTTTTGGGCAATTTCTTTATAATTGATCTAGTATCTCTACAAACACTCCTTATTTAAAATGTTCTAAAAAACGAATGCTATTCAATTAGTTAAACTTGCCATTTAATATATACAAATACAACAGGAGACTCCTTCACACCAATTATTCGTATTTATCATCCCTATCATCCTAGCCAGATTCGAATTCGACGTTCGAAGCTTAGTCTCCTGGTATGAGTCTGAATGATGATTCATTCAGACTCATACCAGTCACATTGACATATATAAAATACAAATGACCATTATGTATCCAACCACGGTAATCCATATATGTATAGCGTTGTATACGTTGATTCCCGGCTCTTTTTCGGTCGTGTGACGCTAAACGACCAGCGAACGCGACATGCCGCAGCAGCGCCAGCAGCGGCTGAAACGACCGTTGCAGAGGCGCGCGCCAACGAGACTAGCGCCCTCAACAGCGTTCACAACACAAGCAGTGGCACCCGTCCAGCATAATGGTGCCGCATGCCTCTATTTTATCGCTGTAGTGTCTCTACCGGAATTTCTACCGTCGGATGAGGAAACAACGAATAACAACTATGAAGCGAGCAGCCAGTTTACTCGTCACCCGTCATCAGGGTACCATTCGCCATCTACAAGATCTACTAACACTGGTATCAGAGTAGGACAATTGAGTGCCAATGCAGGCGTAGAAGCAGATGGTATTCAAGCTCTTCGGTAGACCGAGAAAGATAAGGGAGAGGGAATCAACGAGAAAAAGAAGCGTCGTTCTGGTTTTGGGCTATGGACTGCTCATGGCTCGTCAGCCGCGCGCGATCTATGGATCACGAGAGAAAACACCATTATTAACAGCACTAAAGATTGCTATACGAGTGCAGCATGAGGATGTTCGTGGGGGGCAGGAGGTTGTGAGGTTCGAGCTGCTAGTTCGTTTGTAGTCCGCGCAGGGAAAAAACAGGAGCGCCTTAGCTGATTCTCTATTCTGGCTGGGAGTTGTTAGAGCGGGTACGTTTGTTTGTTGAATAAAACAGCCAGAATTAGCGGCGAAAGGGGATAGAATTAGTGTAGGCAGGCGGGGGTTTGGTCCTAGATAGTTTTGTCGCTAACGTCAGTTGTTGATTCCCCGTGCGCGTGCTCATGTGTCCGTGTATATACCTTGGGGCACAGAAGGTCCTTCCAACTGCAAGAACAAAAGCCACCAAAGCGTCTATGTTGCATTGTGCTTTATAGCTTTCACCGTTGGTTGCAACGTTGCAAGGAGACTGATTAATGAGTTTTCACTGTTCCTATAAAGAATCATTATTTCTAGTAGTTATAGAGATATGTACATTCGATTTCAGCAATGAAAATTGTAATAATTATTGTTGCTATTATCTATTTTAATATATACTTATGTCTATTTTAAAATATCGCAGTCTCGTAAATTTGATTTTTCTGGCCCATGTTCAGGGCGAAACAAATGAAACTTTCACAACTAGTTTTAATAAGACGCGGTGCTTTGTCGTAGTAATGATCATAATAATATAAAACAAGGTAACGGATTCGCTTTCTAAAATCGCTCGTTTTGCTCTAAAGAAGTTCAGTTGTCTACCTAACCTGACCCACCAGTCCACTACTCTAAGTGAATGATCAAAACAGGAGTAGTTTTGTCAGTAACCACAGCTTTAACTGCCTTTATTGTGCCTGCCAGGCTTCGGCAGTTGGATTGATGGCAATGAATGGTACATAGAGAGACCCTGTTAGGTCATGTAGTGTTTGTGTACCATAAAGGAGTTTCTGCTTTGAAACTTGGCGGGTGACATATCAGCTCGACAGCTGATACGAATTAAAATCGGTGAGAACTCGAAAAATCCATTTTACTAAGTGGACTGTCAGAAAAAAAGCTTTTGCAGGAACTTGTCAATCTTCTACTATTTGCACATAGAAAGCGTTTTGGCAAAGAATCATACCAGGAACCATTTTACACTGTATCGGAAGTCTTTCAGAGGCCGCATTTTTCGTTGCGGTTTAGACGTAAATACAATTCAAAATAAAAAAAAGAAGTTCGCAGAAACTTGAAGAGCTTCGTATCTAAGAAACGTTTTCAATGTCCTTGACGTGTTTATTGCTTAATTAATCCGAAAAGCAATTTTTCAACTACACCGCTTGACTACTGCCATTTATCCTTACGGTTAATTGATTCGTTCGGCTAACGACAAAGGGAGTCCTATTGGTGGCCTAAGTACATGTGTTATCGCCGCCCCCTACTGGATCTCTTCATCGGCGTCATTGTTTCACAAGTCGACGCAGCAAACGCACCTGGAGTACGGCGACGTGACTAGAAGTGGTCTGCGCGTTTTTCTTCTAGGTTCAAAACCCATTCATCCTCTTTGCTTGCTATATTTTTAGTGGTGAATTAAAAAGAAACATCTCCTAACGTCGCCATTGTAATCTTTTACAATTTGTTTCACATTGGTAACAGGGCCCTTTCAGAAGACAGATCCCGGTGAGGGTCAACACAATTGCTTCCCACTGGCACTGTGGTAATTTCATACATACTTCGTCAATACGATTCAGGGAAGATAATTTTTTGTCGCAGAATTGTGATCACTATTAGCAAACGTACGTGTCGCGTGTGTCACTATATGCTTCTTCATAGTAATATTAGTATAATAATTGCAACAGTTACAATGTTGAGAGACGCTAACTGGAACATGCGCCGGAGTGAGCAGGCAGACACGTAAAAAAAACAAATAAAATCTAGTTATACCGTTAATTGTAGCCCTTAGAGAAGAGGTCAAATTAACATTAACGGGAATGCAACCGGTGTCCTATACGTAAAGATGTTTTGATTAAATAACAATCATAATAATTAGATTTATTAATTAGATAAATTCCGCAAGATTTACTGATTTTTTTCAGATCTAAGCAAAAGTCAACAGCAGTTCTTCTCTTGACAATATCTATGTAAGACAGAGACAATAAGAAATACGTATAGCTTTAGGATTTCTATATAATTACTTCCGTACATAATTTATTTATTATATTATATATTTTATTTTGCGATAATAAATGCGTTTTCAGTTCTTCTCTATTTGATCGAATAATAAGTTTGCATAGGTATTATTTTTCTGTGTTCGCTTCTGTAACTATATGTACATCTTTGGCTTTCAGCATTATTCTAACATTTAGGTACAACATTTGTACAATATGTTACACTGAGCATCTGTAGCGCTGTGCGTTCGATTCAATGTTTACTCATGAACTAGAGTTGACTTTGACTAGATTGTTTCACTTGAAGATCTCTGGATGAAGGCACCCCGCGGTACGATTTGCGGGGGTTCAACAAAACAGAAACGACGGTAACTGAACATCCAGAAACCTGTACTGTGTTCATCCTCAAAAAGGCTTCGAGGATTTAGAACTCAAAAAAAAAAATCTCATTTAACGTAACTCAGAACTGTTTCCATTGGGGTTGCCTGATACGAGTTCCCTACTAATAATTAGAATATTTTTCATGATACTTTTGTCTATACGTAGGACTCCGTCTTGCTGGAGTACATTTGGAAGGTATCCCACAGCTCTTTGCTAACGAGGTCATGCGCTCCAATAGCCTCCATGTCAATGGGACTGCAAACAGCCGCGATCTTACGCAATGCTGCGAGACAGGCAACAAGTACAGAATCGGCGTTATTACGCTCCTTGGGCTCCTTACATAAGGCCACAAGACGGTGAACACCCTGCATCTGGATCACGCGCTCAGCAACCATTGCTGACGTGCAGAGTCGGGCAAGAGCAATGGCAGACTTCTGCTGAATCCGTTCACAAATGTCAACCTCAACCTGTTTTTGTAACATGTTAGGTCGAAGCTGCAAAAGCGACAAAAGCACTGTCAAACCACCGCATTCAACAACGTCGCGATGGCACGCCTTCTCCGAGGCGACGTTTGCAAGGACAGTCGCAACCTGATCCTTGACGAAGACGCTCTGTGCGATCGACTTATGACGACAAGCCATAATGAGGTTTCGGGTTGTGCCGTATTTGTGCAGGTAGGCCACCGCGATGGGATCGAGAAATGAGAGGTTGGCGACGGCCGCTGTCGCTAACAGGAACTCCTCACTATTACCAGCCTTGTTCATGACTTCAGTCAATGATTTAATTAGTTGATCCATGGATTCCTTCATACCGCGCAGGACGGGTGTCTCTGTCCAGGGCGCAGTGATCTGGGTGAGCAGGCCAACGGCTTCGGTTTTCTCCTGCTCGCTCGAGTTCTTGTCTTGTAGAATGTCGCGTATAATTAGAACGCCCGCACATTGATCAAACGCACGAGTGGCAGCTGTTTGTGAGCAGAGAAGGGTCAACGCGCGCAGGGCTGTAGGCCATATGCAGCGCAGTTCACGTATCTCACAGACACTCAGGAGAGCTTCGACTCCATTGACTCGGGTGATCAGATCACACATCGATGGCGAGTCCTGAGCTAGCGTGCAAAGAGCGGCCGCGGCACGCCGTGAGCAGCCCAAAGCAGCTCGTTTATGTCTCTTATTCTCTTCAATAATTTTGACAATCTTAGCAATTTCCTTAAGAAATAACGAGTTAGCTAGTGTCTGCAAGGTATTCTTCACATCAGCCATCAGTGACTGGATATTCTCGAATTCTGTGAGCGTCTGAGGCTTACTGTTGGGTCGAGAACCGACTTCACGAAGCCTACGCAGTGTTTCGTACATGTGTCGCTCAACCGATCGAGAATAAGGTGACGAATTCTCAATAATACACCGATACTCTAATAGGAAATCATTAACCTCGGTGCTGAGTCCTGGTACAGAGCTGCAGAACTTCACCCATTGACCCTGCTCAAGTCGGCGTGTCACGTGGCCAACAGTAGCTTGAACATTTTCGTGACGGTCTTGCAAGCGCGATATCGCTTCCTGAGCATCACCCACGCCCAGAATCGCCGCCAGAATCGGGTCTTTCGTGAGGCTTTTACTTTGCAAAGCGCTCAGACATTCGGTTTCGACCTGGGTGCGAGTTTGCTTCAACCACTGCTGGACAGATGGAGCGGCATTTAGGTCACTCTGTTCGACGATCCATTGGAGATAGTGAGAAAGTGGGTGTGACTCTTCTAGTTGGACTGCGTTTGACGGCTGTGGTTGCTCAAAGGCGGTCGCATAAATATGCGAATTGTCAGACGTGAAGGTGTCGTCAAAGTTGAGCCTTTTCGTTACCTGCTGTAGGCTCCGACGATGACGCACAGGCACGCGAGGCGTCTCCATGTGGATCGGTGTCACCGGATCGTAGATATGCGACTCGCCAGATGAGTTTAGCTGGACTGGTTTTTGTGGGCTGGGACTGGACTTGCCTCTAAGAGGTAACGATGCAATGGGTACCGAGAGTTCAGTCTCAGTGAACTCCTCTCGACCGCTCACCGAAAACACGTCTTCGGCTGATGCAAACCTCACCATCTTCTTCTTGGTGTCGTCGCTCCGTCGAAGGCGTAGAGAGCATCTCCGGATGAGTGATTTGGTCTGATTATGTCGCTTGGGGGTGCTAGTCACCGGGCTCTTTTTGGGCTCCACTACGGGCGTTTTGTGCTTGAGTATTGGACTAGGCAGCTTCTCCGTTTTTGTGGCTGGGCTGGCCACGAACTCGTTGACAGTGTTGGTAGCGACTTGTTTGAACAGCGTTTTGCGGCAGACCTGCTCGATTGACTGAACGAGCCACTCGGCCTCGCTGGACGAGCACGAGAAGGATGACTGTCGGCCGTCTTCGACTTCCGACGCTGATGTAGTCGTCGATCCTGTCGACGACTTACGTGTCAATCTTGTGGCCGAGACACCTTTCGCTGGTTTGTGGTAGTCACTTTCGAATGAACTATTCACACTATTCTTACCACTGGGCACCTGAAAGCACACAAAATAGCAGGAGATATTAATCAAAAACTATTTTCGTGTCACAGGTTTACTGAGTTTGTTACTTCTGCACGGAAATAATCGATTTGCTCACGTACGTCTAGATAGTCACGCTTGGCTATAAAAGAAAGGAAACACAGAATTTCTGCATTCACATTCGAGCGCCCGCAAGGAAGCCAGCACACAATTGAGCAACTGCGCAGTTCGGTCAAAACCTTCGCCCATACTCTCTAAAACTGAAAATTGAAAACCGAGGGCAAGTAAGGGAGCTTCACAAAGATGACGAAGCTCAGTTTCAGCGACATCCGGTATGCGAATAAACAGCTGGCGCCGGCTTTCCCACTAACCCAATGCTGGGGCAATTCGGTTCGAACTTCACCAGTCACCTATAGAAAAACCAAATCCACAGAGTACACGACACAATCTGGGTTGCACTCTATCTGGCGTCACAAACTAGAGCAATGCAGGGCTTGGCTTCTATTGTCTGTTGCTGCGTCAACTAGTCGATCAAACGGACTAACCGACCAACAACGCGTCTACCGGTCAGAGCTCGAGTGAGCTTCGTTGCGAGCGGAAAGCCGCGACAAACGATCTCCAACGGCTATCGGACTCGAGACCACCGACCCGAGCTTTCTCGCTGGCTAGGTGCAGAGAGAGAGCGGCCGCTGAACTCGATGGGGTAGTCGGGTTCTCGGCTCCCACCCTCTCCCCTAGGTTGGTCCAGGGCCTCACAAGGGAGGAGAGCGTGCTTAGCTCTCTACGCCAAAGTAATACTATGCTTGACTACTATATCAAAGTACTGCGATTTGCTATTACTATGACTACTCATGGGGATATAACCGCTGGCCGGAAAGCGCCTCACATTGCAGTTAGCATAATTATTTATTATTATATTCTTCTAGGTATAATAAGGTTGCAGAAACAGACCGAAGAGCTCACGGGAGCCCATTTCCAAGAACATTAACAGCCGCTGACCACACGCGCAACCATCCATTATAGCATGAATGTTTAGCGTCCATTAACGTTTAGCAACATGCCACAGGTCCTTAGGATTTGCACGTGTCAACATTAAATAGGCGAAATGGTTCATTCCCTAATATTAGGTTCGTAGACCTAATAGTTACGCTAAAGCCTAATTTTATCGTCAGATTTGCATGGTTACGCTCCGTTACGTTGAAGAGTTAGTATAATTCTCTCAGTTCTTTTAGCCGTGATACTGAACGCCGACCGAAGCACCGTGAGAATGGCAGATGTACCCACACAGCTGCGCAAAACCCATATAGAAGTTAATGGGGCACATGGAGCCGGTTATTCCTTGGACTCAAACAACGTACATACAGGCCCGCGTACAGCTACACACTAAACACACGCTACGAACGGATAAAATAAGCAAAAATCGAGGAAAATAGGTAGAAGGCCTCTCTAAAGGACGATAAAACTAGAGGAAACGAAGGTGTAACGGAAGAATTTTACGGGAAAGCTGTGCCTTTACTATTGCCGTTGCCGCCTCATCCAGACAGCCAATGGTCAACGAAGCCGTTCAGCAGACGTCTAGCTGAACTAAAAATATGCAGAAGGTCCAGCTAACGAAATAGTCTATATTCGGATCGCTTTACGACAGAAGCAAAAACTGTTTGGGAACAACTCCCGGGGACCAACCAATATTCGAGGACCCTTAACCAAGAGATGCCTTAATATGACTTTTTTTTTTTTCGGTTATGCGAGCGCGCCGACCAGTTCCAGTAACTACTAGCAAAGATTAGTCCGTGCAGTATCGGACCCTCAACCAAGAAGCAACTGTTGATGCCTATAGGAGCGCACAAGGTAATATCGTCTGCGCCAGTATGACGCAAGTATCAGAAAACATTCTACCTAGGCTAAACATCGAAACATATAGGCACGCATACAAATATAGAAATCATCATAGAAAGTTTGTCTTGTATTTGCACCGATGTACATAGACGATAACCTGATGCACTTACCAACTTATTGTGGAAGCTGGCCGACTTGCTAATATTACCGTAAACTCGATCATAGTGAACCATGTTGACAGTGTGGATGTTCCGCTGTCTACCCCACACAGAAGGTAGCGTTAGTGACGGGCTGTCACTAATACGATCGTTTAATCCTTAGCAAGCGAGAGATGATGATCTCTAGTTCAAGTAGTTGTTTTCACTGCCGTTCGGAAGATGATGTTGTACTTGATAAGCACGGCTATTCACGTGTGTACCGCTGAATCATTGGCTGTGCTATAGCACTCCGTCGTTTATTATCATGACTACAATTGCTACTATCGAAATAGTGGTCATCTGGCTATTTTCAACTGCTATCAAGTGGTTCTTGAACTAGAGTTCTGACTTTCTGCTTGAGGATTCTAACTTATATACACCCGTAGAGAGGCCCCAGGGAGAGGGTAGTCCAGCCCTGAACCAGAGTCTCCAGTCGGCGCAGCGCCAGAGTCGCGTCCAGAGCACCAGATGCTACCTGGCCGCTCTTCTCGGCGATTGGCGCTGTACATCGCCACAGGCCGCCGATTCTATCTAACTCTCTATTTATTTCTCGTTCTCTCAGTTTTTCTTCCTTTTCTTGCGTTCATTCTATTCCTGCTTTTTCTATGGTCTCTTTAGATATAGAGAACACCCTCTCCGTCTGTTTCTGTGTACGCTTGGATCGCGTACGAAAAAAAAAATGCAAGTGAGTAAGTAGCTTCGATGGTGGCTGGTGTGGGCCGGGGGTGAACACAGCCCTGCTGGCTCATATCTGTCTGTATACAGTGGTCGGCAATCTATTCAGCCGGTGACGTAGCGCCGGACTCAATACCGAACAACAGATCTGCCGTTGCTCCGCCCTAACTATGGTGACGCGTGCCAGCTCTGAGGGCATAACATAACACCTGGCTACTGTGCCTAACAGCGCCAGCCGACGCTTCAGAGGTCTGCTTGAATGATCAGACGCCGCGAGGTAGCGAATGACGACTTTTACCGGCGGTTAGAAACTATGCTGAGCGACAGACACATGGAGACGACTACGTCGAATCGTTTCTGAGATGCGATACACATGAAAACAGGGAGATGAAGGTAACGACAACTGTTTCTGTTTACGGGAGTTCCGTTGAGGGCCGCTATCAGCAGCGCCACAGTTCAATTGTTTAATAAACAGATAGGTGGGTAGGTCGATCAAAGCAGACGGGTAGATCAGTCAAATGGTCTGTGTATCGGAAGCACAAACCAATAAATAAAAAATAGAAATATACAGAAAGGTGTGTATGTTCGCGTAGTCGTAAAGGTGTAAAAATTCAACTCTATATTGAGCGTCTTTTTTCCTCGTCATTGTTATTTTTCGTAGCTGCTATTCATTACAGTTTGATTTACTCACAACGTTTTTCGAACTACGTTGCAGTATTTCGTGCCACACGACTTGGTCGTAATCACTTAATCTTTATCGCTTTATTAGTATCGCTCTTGAATTTCTGTGATAACAAACCAGCGTAACAAGTGAACCCATACCCACGTGGACACATATTGCCTGTCTCCGTATGCCCGGTTCAGCTGCCCGAAACATCTTAGTCGATGTATGAACGTACGTTACGTTCAGTGGTTATCGATGCGACCAGGACGCACTCTTACCGTCATCCGAACGCCCTACTCAGTAATATTCAGCATATACTTGAGCAGAGTTCGCGTGCTTTTCCCCGCTCCGTAATGACGGTACCTATCCACTACCCCATTTGAAAGCAGACCTTGTACACTGACGGAATTACGATAAAACTCAATATAGTATTCTGTTTCGCATATTCTCCCTTCGATTCACCAGTCACCACCTACCCGAGCTTCACCATTTATCCAGCCGCTTCTTCTACGCGGAGTTTTTTTTATGTTACTCTACCGATCTGAGCACGATGAGGCATAACATAGAGGGTCACACATAAAAAAAAAGAAAGCGAATCAGACAAGGAAGACCGTTCTCCATGTAGGCTTGTTCCCCATTTTTGCCTATCGATATGCAGACTAGCTGTTTTCCTGTAGGGTTGCTATCAAACAAGCAAACTGGTCTTGTTCCTCCGTCATCGCTGCCGCCCCAGTCGTCTGCACTAGTAGCAGCTCCACTCCCACAAGAACTGCCAGGACAGCAGAAAAAGCTACGAGACCCGGTTAAGAACGATATCAGTTCACCTCTAGTCAGTACCGCCGCACTCGTATCGTCAGCTCGTCGTGGTTGTCTCCATCTTACGAGACCTTCGTCTAAGAGGAGCAGCTGGCCTAGCGGCTCCCCTCCCTCACCAACCAGCGTGCTCTGTCCTTCTGTATGACGCGTGCCGAGTTTAGGTCGTCTTAAGGTTGTAGTAGTAGTAATAATAGTAGTAGTAGTAGTAGCAGCAGCAGCAGCAGCAATGACAGCTGAAGAAATGGCGGTAGTGGGTTTTAAGTCTCGGTCGAGCGCCGCAGTCGCTCGTAGTATCAGCGGTTCAAGCATATTCTGTGCTTGAGGGTGCACCTCTTACTGGTGCTGCATCGTCTTGGGCTTCTGTCCCTTTCTCGTCGTCTCCTATTAATATCTGCAGCTCAGACTTTGTATGTGTCTTTTCGTTTTCGCTCGTATTCATTCGCGTTTCTCAATGAACCCAGTCGCTTCGACGAGCAGCTGATGTTCCGGCTGATCTGTTTCTTTGGCTGCAACAGCGGCCGAATATCATCGTGATGACCGACTGGTCTGCGTGTGCCTGCCACGCGCCATAAGCCCTACTGTGGCGTATGCAGGCGGTGCGAGCTGAACCTTTCGAAAACTTGAAAACGATCGAACAGCAGAAAATGCAGAAGACGCTAGCGACTGAGTAGCGGCAATGAGTGGGCCAGCTATGTGGCCTCGGAACTGTTGGTGATTGCGTTGCTGATGCCGATAATGCTCGAAAGACAGCAGACGTTTATGAAGCGACCGCAAGCAACTGACACTTTGTCGTTCTTGCTCACCCCGTAGTTGTCGAAGCCGCGCCTGGTGTTAAGGCACAGAAGTACTGATGGCGACAGACACCAGAAATACAGTAAATAACAGTTTTGCTTGAAATGCGCTGTTCTGTTTAACGGCCTTGACTTCATTGAGAGGTAGAAGGATGGTACCCTCACAAACGGCCGGCAGTCACACAGCAGGCCAATAGTTCCTGAAAGGTTAGATACTGCCGCCATCGTTGTTACTACAGCTGGTACTTTAGCTGAACTCTAATGATCAGTCTATTAAAGCATTTGGTGTCAGTCAGCGGCTGTGTCGGGTGTAGTACAATATTGTTGAGGTTCTCGGTTTTTGCGGAATTAAAGCAACCTAAAAAGGAAAAGATAAGGCAAGGAACAGTGTATTGGTTGCACTTCTTATCCACAACAAATACGCACAGCCTTACCCGAACAGTCGGTTGGCTTATTTAGGATACTGAAGGAATTTGCTGTAGATTGCAACTGAGAAACTTAATACTGAAGTGCAGGGTTTCTAATAGTAAAACTTCACCAGCTTTCAATTGTGAAAATTTAGAGGGTTGTTCCACCATCTATTTTCATTAATTTTTAAAATTAGAGGGATACTGTGGTAGAGCTCATCTGGAAACTAGCGGGAGGATGCGCTTGAGGAATTTCTATAATAGTTGAGAATGATAAATTTGCCATGATAAAAAACCGTGCGTATGAATCTCAACGTCCTGTTGGCGTATGGTGATTAGACGACAATCTAGTATACATTGTAGAGAGAACATAATGACGAAAATTATCTTACGTTTTCCAATACTAGCAGATTTCGCCGCACAAGATCACCGCTGTTATCTACTTGTGACTTTGCTGGTAGTAATTTGTTGGTAGGTTGGTTACCTCCGAGGATAATGTAGAATAAGGTAGTTTTTTCTGTTTCCAGTGCTGATTTTAGACTTACTTCTTTAATCAAGAGGTCGCTGGGTAGGATGAAGTATTACTTTTAAATACTTTGCAACAGTTTAAATTAAGTCTCTACACAGCTCCGCAGTCTCCGGATGAGGGGAGCTACATATGAGCGGCTTCCATAGCCACGACCTGCTCTCGATCGTCATGCAACACAACCCTTCGAGTAGACCCAATCGACAGAGTTACGTTCTAGCAGTAAGAAGTACTATAGTACTGCTACAAGCAATTTAGATAAGCAAGAATCAGCATATCTAAAACATGAAATATAAAATATAATAAAGTATAGTTAAACTTAATGGAGCCTAATTATTACCTCTACCGAAAGTCGCACTTTACAGGGGCACTTGACTCTAAGACTGAACAGCCTAAAACGATACGGGGTACTTATATGTAAGGGGTCCTAAAAACAACTTTTCATTCACGCCCCTCAGAATTAATCCGATTCGTTCGCATTTTCATGCTCCGTTCCTTAATGAAGAGTCCCTTTCTATCGGGGGTGGAACTGAGAAGGGGTGATATCGGACTGCGACGGAGAATCAGAACGATAGGACGAAAAGCGACAAGTAACAGCCGAATGAACTTAGCGGTAGGCTGCGAGAATGCTTGGGGCCTCACGCGGTGAATTTAGTATGATTTTTCGATAGCGCGGCTTATAAAATGACATGATAAGTAAAGTAAAGAGAGACATGTCTATGCCAGAATGTCGAACGTGTTGAAAGTATACGACAGAGTAATGCCTGATATCAATGCATAAGAGCTACGGCTTCGTTAGTTCGAAGTTAATGTAGTAATTGCTAATACTTTCTGGCTAGTTCCGAGATCAGGTCCCACATTAACTAAATGTTGTCCATTAAATTTTGTGACAATGCATACTGAACCGTGTGGCATATCTACGTTGATGTAACCTACCCTTAGAACAATGCCTGTCTTTAAGTCGGCTTTAAGGCAATGCGATGTAAACCAGCGAATTACACTCACTATATTGTTTCACGTATAGCGTGCGTGTCATTTGTCATGTAAATCAGCGTTTTCAAGAAAATTATGATTGAAACAAGTGTACGCGACGAATTAAACGAATATAGTTATCACATCAGGTACACCGCCTGCAAATCGGGTAATCTTTTTCCTCTCAGGCGGCTGAGCTCTCATACATCGAACATCTAGTGCGCCGATAGTAATCGTCGGCTGTGATTACGTGTCGCAAATCTAACAGAACTCGAAAAGATATATCCGTTTAAACCTGAGAGAACAAACCTCGTGGTATTCCTCGTGTGGGTTCTAGCTAGATGCCATACGACAAGCTGAGCATTTGGATGTTGGTTTTTAGATAGTTTTATTTATATATGCTAACATACATA